CCAGAAAGGGCATTGACCCCCTCCCACTATATCTTGCTCTGTGCATCTCATCCATTTGGCTGTACTTGAGTTGTATCCTTTATAATAAACCAGTAAGAGTAAGGAAAGCACTTCCTGAGTTCTGTGAGTCATTCTAGTCAATTATCAAACCTGAGGAGGGTGTCGTGGGAACCCCCAGTTTACAGCTGGTCAGTCAGAAGTATGGGTAGCTTGGGAATTGTGATTGGTGTCTGAAGTGGGGGCACTCTTGTGGGACTGAGCCCTTTAACATGTGGGATCTGATGCTAACTGCGGGTAGGTAGTGTCAGAATTGAATTGAATTGTTGGACATTCGGTTGGTGTCAGAGAGTTGGAGAAATGGTGTTGGAAAAGACAACATGTATTTGGCACCAGGAGGAAAAAAACCCTTGTCCCTTGTCTACAGTTGTCTGGCTGCACCAGTGCACATTACACTGTCTGCAATGTGGGAAACTACTTAAATGTATTATCGAAATACATATATGCACAACATGGCAGGAAAAACTCAATGTAGGGTTCACATAAAGAAAAAGACTCTGCTCTTCATTACTGTGTAATTGCCAAACAAAGAATAGAATATATAGCTTCAGCTCAATTTCAGATTGCCCAGGAGGGAGGGGGTACAATTCAGAAAAAAATTTGAGGCAGCTCAGGTTATCTGGAGGCTTTGGTTTGAGGGTCCATCTAGACATAGTCTTTCATCCATTAATTCCTTGTATAGATATTTACTGAACTTCTAATCTCTGTGCTTGGCCCCTTGGTGAACAAGACAAAAGGTCCTCATTTTCACTCAACCTCTCTGTCCCCATTTTTTTGGACAAATGGTGTAGGATATTTTAACAAAAAAGAACTTTTTATTCATTCATTCATTCATTCTACGTGTGTTTGTTTGAGAGTGTATAATACAGGTAGACTATTGGGAGATATTTAAAAGAGACATTGTGTTTGCCTTCAAGGACTGTCAAGCTTGTTTGTTCATCAATCAGTCATTCATTCAAAAAAATGCATTGAGCCAGGCACTGTGCCAGGTCAGTGCCAGGGAAATATAGAAATGAACAAAGCACACAGTCAGTCCCTGAAGGGCTGCAGTTCCAGCCTGAAGGGGCAACAGGTGGTAATGTCTTTGGTAGAGTGAAGTGTGGTAGGTGATGGCAATGAGCTGTGCCCACCCTCTAGGGACAGTGCAAAGGGAGCACAGCAGTGGGGTATCCTGAGTTAGCCCTGTGTAGGCGAGAGGTCAACACGTGACTCTTAATCTGACTTTTTAGTTGGGGCTGGAGAGAAGGGATGGCTTGGAGAGGAGGAGACTGTGTCAGTGAAGATAAGGAGGTGTGAGCCACCATGGCTGTGCACTAAACTGCAGGTGCTGTATTTTGATTTGGGTGTAGGAGGTGGCAGTAGGTGAATTTTAATATAGTGAAACAGTTGCACATCAGTGCCAAGAACTAAACCTTGTAATATTGGCACAATAAATGGTTCAATGAAATGGATAGCCCAGAAATAAACAAACATGTGATAAGGTAGGTATCACAGATCAGAAGGGTGTTAAGTAATAAATAATACTGGGGCAATTGATAAGTTATTTAGAAAGAAAATAGATTCTTACTAGTGATGATTTTTAGTCAGCATTTAGGGGCTTGAAACTTAGAAATTAGAGGATTAAGATTTCATTCTGTGAGTTAAAACTTAAGATCAACACTAATGGGTCAAGGCTCTATATAACAGGTTACCTCGAAGAACATAGTACCTTATCGACGCTATCTCCTCACTGAACATATAGATCCTATGACAGTGGTTGACTTCACGAACCGCACCCTCACAAGGGCCTCTAATTTGGTTTAGTGTTCTGCTCTTGCCCTCTTAAAAATCTTAACTTTTGAAAATGGGTGTATATTTTCATTTTGCACTGAGCCCTGCAAATTATGTGTCAGTCCTGCCAGTGAGGTTGGTCAAACATGGAAACAGAGAGTTACGGAGCCAAGCTTTAGAGGTAGATGCTGTCCTGCTTTTAGGAAAGTTGCAGCAACACAGTTCAAGAGTCTGGGCCACAGGAGCAGGACCATGTGTACTGCGTATGGATGCCTTGGGCTGTCCCAGACTGATGCATTCAATAGTCAATTTATTTGACAGACTCTCTCTTCTTCCCTTCTCCTTCTCACCAAGGAACCTTTTACTTGTGATTTGGCTTCTCCTGTGGTCTTCCTGCAGGGACAGAGCTGGCTGGTCACGCTGACTCCATACTGATGCGGGAAGTTAGTTACTAAGCTGCCATTCTGGTGATATGCGTCAGTGAGGTTCTTTAATGGGAGCCTGTCCCGGGAAGAAGGTCCCCTTCTGTTAGGTTTCTGAGGCAGAACGCTGATGTCCAGGCATTGAGCTGGTGAATTCACCAAAGCCGTCATGCACAGAACAGTGGTTAAGGACAAGGCCTTTGCATAAAAAGGAATGAGGCTCTAACACCTGCTACAACATGGATGAACCTGGAAGCCATCATGCTAAATGAAATAAGCCAGCCACAAAGGACAAATATTATATGATTCCACTTACGTGAGGTACCTAGAATAGTCAAATTCATAGAGTCTGAAAGAAGATTAGAGGTTACCAGGGGCGGGGGACAGGAGGAATGGGGAGTTGTTGCCTTATGGTTTCAGAGTTTTTGCTTAGGGTAATGAAAAAGTTTTGGCTATAAATAGTGGTGGTGGTTATACAACATTGTGCATGTACTTAATGCCACTGAATTGTATACTTAAAAATGGCAAATTTTGTGTTATATATATTCTACCACAGTTTTTAAAAGTTAATAATGTAGTATACCAAAAAGCATTGGATGCATGCTTTTCATGGGTGAATTGTATGGCATGTGAATTATATCTCAATAAAGCTGCTTTCTAAAACATTAAAAAGAAGAAAAGAACAAGGCCTTTGGAGTCAGCCAGACAGCCCTAGGGTCAAGTCCTGTGGTGCTACAAGATGATGTACGATGTTGTGTGATGTTGGCCAAGATACGTAACTGTGCCCTGTTCTTTCATCTGCCAGGTGGTGATATGACACCTATATCTTAGGGTTGTTGCGAGATTGAAGGGGAAAATGTACACCAGGTCAGGGTTTCTCAGCTTCAGCACTGTTGACATTTTGGACCAGGTCATTCTTTCTTGGGGAGAGGCGGGGAGGGAGCTGTATTGTGCAGGGCGGGGTGTCTAGCAGCATCCCTAGCCTCCCCCAGCAGCTTCCTCTTAACCTCCCACAACTGTGACAACCAAAATGTCTCCAGACATTGCCTAAACGTCATGCTGGGGGGCAGAATAGGCCCTGGTTAAGAAGCACTCACTGGCTTAGGTGTATAGAGCAATACCTGGAGAAAAGAAAGCTACTGGCAGGTTTTGTAATAGTAATGACAGTCTCGTTGAGCTAAAGATGGCAATACTCCTGAGACCAACCTGAGGCCCCTGGAAAGACATTTGTCAGCCTTTCACCTGTCCTCTGCTCTTATTTCTACATCCATGCCAGAATCAAGTCCACAGGGATTAAAGGGTAAATGTAAAAAGGTCTGCCTTTACAAACTGAAAGAAGAGAAGTTACAGATCTGTAGATTTGCAAATAAAGAAGATTTACAAATACCAAACTCAAAAGCAGTGGTACTTTTGTGATGTTTAAAATTGGGTTTAAATCATATTGGGGAATTTTCTTCCCTGATGTCATTACATTAAAAACAAACAGCATGCATAATTGATCAAAAAAACAAAGACAAAAAAACCCTTGGTAATTATAGTTAAAAAGCAAACTGGAGGGAATTCCCTGGTCGTCCCATGGTTAGGACTCCATGCTTTCACTGCCATGGCCCTGGATCAATCCTTGGTCGGGTACCTAAGATCTTGAAAGGCACATGGTGTGGCCAAAAGAAAAAAAAAAACAAAGCAAACTGGATAAAATGATTATAAGAAATATGACAAAGTGGTATTGAGAAACTGGTATAAGTCAAAAAGAAAACCAAATACAAAAATAAATGCCTCAGACATAGGGACAAAAGAGGAAATACAGTCAGCTTACAATCATTTGAACATTGTTCAAATTCAGTAATACTTAAAAATTTAGATCTTTTTTTCATTTAAATTGGCAGAGATTTTGAGCATTAATACCTAAGTCTGCGGTACCATTTAGAGGAGTCTCCTTACACATTTCTTATAGGACACTGGATGGGTATAATCCCATTGGAAGGAAACATGGTGATAAATATGCCTTAAAAGTTCATACCTTTTAGCCCCCAAAATAACATTTGGGAATAATTCCACAGCATAATCTGAAATGTAGACAAATATTTATGCATGAAGATGTTTATTGCAAGGTTGTTTTAACAGAAGCCAGCTTCATGTCTAGCATTAGGGGTGTGGTAAATTATAGCTTATGGTAAATAATTAGCAATCCTTAAAACAATATTTACAAAATGTTTCTAATGGCATACAGAATTCTTAAGTGTTAAATGAAACAGCAGGTTTTAAAATTGTGGATGCGGTATGAACTCAGCTCAGAATAAAGACTGGAAAGGAATATGCAAAATATTAATAGCATTTGTTCCTGGAAGATTGAGTTATGATAATTTATGAAAGTTACTCATAACTGCTTGATTAAATTGATCATTTCAAAGCAGACTTAAGACTTTGTGTGTGTTCCTTTCAGGTAATTTTTTGATCTTATGCATTTCTGTAGCCTGGAAATGAAGGTGAAAGAGGTTAGCTGTGTTTCTCTGAATAAGAGAAAGGAAGCAGTTATCAGTGTCTTAAAGTGCAGCTTTATATTTTAGTAAATTCCTTATAAATTGCAATAGCAAACTGGCTTTGGGGGGTAGACTGCTTGCCCTGGATGAGGTGAATTAATGGTTTTTTACACCACAGCCCTCTTTTTGTTCACTAATTTTTCAAGATATATTTATTGTAGCATGTTTCTTGGTGAAGGAATCTTTAAAATGTCCATTTTCATTTTTATAGTATGTGCAGAAGCTTATAATCCTGATGAAGAAGAAGACGATGCTGAGTCCAGGGTATGTAATTTACTGAATGCGTCAATTTTAAATTATACTCCTGCATTGGATAAAGAAAATAATAATAGAAAAGATGTTAACAGGCATATAGGTTAACAGGGGGCATAATGGAATTATTCTGACTGTTTCTTTTCCTCGTCTTATCTCCTGATAGTTTACTTCTTCGTGTTCTGTATAATTACTTCAATCCAAAACATCTCTCTCTTTGGATAAGAGGAAAGATGAACAGAAAAACTCACTGAAGTTGTGGTTTTATTTCTCTTGCAAAAATATAGTCTGTGATGAAAAATGTTTTTAGCTATCTTTCCCAAAGTGATAATGTTATTTTTCTTAGACAAGTAAGTATTTCTAGGAAAGAAAAATGCTGGGAAAAGCCTTCTGCTCCTACTGTTTTATCACAACAGAAGCTTACTCTGAAACAACAACAAAAAATCACAGTAAAATTACATCTAAAATGTCAGTACAGCAGTAACTGTGTTTTAAAATCTGTGAGTCTGATAGTTTGCTCAGAAGCTGATTTCTTGGAGGTCTTAAAGTTTTCGCAAGACTTTGTCCAGTTCGGTTTGAAACGGTTTTTAAGCTGTGTCCTTTAGCTCCATTCTCCTATTATTTATTTAGTAGAAAGTAAACTCAGTAGGAGATTACTGAGCCTGGAAATGGAAAGTAATCATGTACTTTTTTTTTTTTTTTTTTTTTTTGTACATAAGTTCATTTGTATCCTTCGATGTGGGCATCCTATTTTGATTTATTTTTTAACTTTTTCCTAATTTTATTAATTACTAAATTAATAATGGAGAAATATAACCAATGTATAAGAACTATAGGAAGTAAGCAGCAGAAGTAGTGGCAAAGAACAGATGACCAAGTGCCATATTGCAGAAGGATCCTGCAACAGTTTGCCTTTTAGGTCTAGAACTTTGCTTCAGGACTCCCAAATATTGGACTCCCAATATTTAATTTAGTCAACAAAGAAAGTTCCTCAGACAGCACATAACAGCTGGCAGTACCAAATGTGAACCTGAGCAGCCATCACAAGGGGATCTCTAGAAGACCTTCTGAATGGTGATGTGATTTTTTTTTTTTTTTTTTTTGAGTACATACTTTACAAAAGTTTGTTTTCTTCTATTTGGCCTTAAATAAAAACAAAAATCTGTTTCTATAGCTCTGAAAAATACTAAAGTAAGATTGAGTTTTAATATAGAAAAGCAGATACTGTATCCCTAAGTCATTACATCATTAAGCTCCCTGAAATATAAATAAAATCCAGTGGTAGAAAGATCAGGAGCTTTAAATGACACAGAAGATTTTGGAGAAAATCCCATTTCACTCCTGTCCCCACGGGGATTCGCAGCACCAGACTTGCAGTGTTCATTTCTCAGTACCATAACTTACATATTTTGATCAGGTCCGTAAATTCCAGCCTGAAAATTATGTTGCCTTAGGATCAAGGTATCGTCTCTAATGTGTAATGTGCTGTTACCCCTCCATGTAGTCTGAAAAACCCTCCCCTCTCCTACACTGTATTTATGTATCTCGCAGAAACACTAGTGGGTGACTTTGAAGACAGTGTTCTTTGTGTATAAATGTATATGATAAAACTTGATAATTGAGAAGTTTGATGAGCTTGTTTAGCTTAGTAAAAATCTAAATTGGAAAGAACATTTAAAAATACAGTTTGAAAACAATATACAGTATCTCATAGACTCGAAAACTGTTAGCTACCATTTGGTCCACGTGATTGATAAGGTGGTTTGGCTGGATCACTCCAACTAATTTCTAACAGTCTTGTTGGGGAGGCTATACCAGTTAAAATTCATTTGGCTGTGGGAAAAAAACAATCACATTGAGATTAAATACAAAAGAAAACATTGGGGAATTATAGGACATATGCTTGGAAATCTTGTAGAATTCCTGAAAGTGTTAAAGAAAACCCTAGGCTGTGGCTAGCAGGCAGGAGCCAGCCCCCTCTGGGGTCCTTCCACAGCATTTGTGCAGCACCTAAGAGTATCGACATTGAAAGGGACTCAGCTGCCCATCACTCTTATTGTGTCTCTCTCAGTTCAAAATCCCAGCTTCCCCGTGGAGAGTTTCAAACAGACTTGACTTTGGCTGGGGGACCCCACTTATAAATGAGGGCATCCTGCAAGCCCACTCTTGGGCATATACCCAGAGAAAACTCTTAATTCAGAAAGACACGTGCACCCTTATGTTCATAGCAGCACTATTTACGGCAGCCAGGACATAGAAGCCACCTAAATGTCCACTGACAAAGGAATGGATAAAGAAGATGTGGTTCATGTATACAAGGGAATATTACTCAGCCATAAAAAAGAACGAAATAATGGCATTTGCAGCAACATGGATGGACCTAGAGATTATTCTATTAAGTGAAGTAAGTCAGACAGAGAGAGACAAGTATCATGTGATATCACTTATATGTGGAATCTAAAATGATGTAAATGAACTTATTTACAAAACAGAAATAGACTCACAGACATAGAAACAAACTTAGGGTTACCAAATGGCAAGAATGGGGTAGGGTGGAGATAAATTAGGAGTTTGGGATTAACATATACACAGTACTATCTATATATAAAATAGATAACCAACAAGAACCTACTGTATAGCACAGGGAACTATATTCAATATCCTGTAATAACCTATAATGGAAAAGAATCTGAAAAAAAAATGTATATATATATGTATATGTAACTGAATCGCTTTGCTGTATACCCGAAACTAACATAACATTGTAAATTAACCATACTTAAATTTTTTTTTAATGCTTAAATTTTAAAAAAACGTTTAAAAAAATAAATGAGGGCAGTTCCTAGAGAAGGAGGCATCTTTGTGGGTTGGGCATTCACCCTGAGTTGTCCCTGTAACACCCCTGAATGTTACTTTAATTTTTTAAAATTAATTTATTAATGATATATTAATCATTATAATGAAGTGTCTTGGGTTCTCCATTAGGTTGACTCTTCTCTACTAAAAACTGTATTTTTTTTAACATACTAAAATAAAATATTAAACATTTTAATAAATATTAAAATATTTTAATATTTTTTGTCTTAGATACTATAAGGCACTTGTACCATAGCCCTTGGAAATGATTATTACAGATTTCAAAACTTAATTGGCTCTAAACTGATCCTGGAAAATGTCTGTAAGGAAAACATGAAGTGTATTTTGATAAACTAACATTTCATTTGGACATTTTGTCTTATTTTAGAGACCCTATTTATATTATCAAATCCCAAAATCTCAGAGTAGTATAAATAGATACTTATTCTTTGATATGTATTCAAAGAAAATTCAAACCCTTAAGACTGATTTTGGAAAACAACAAGTTAGATTTTGGTTGGAATACCTTTAACAAATGAAAATGTAAGGGTTATATACATCTAGCATGTAGAAACTGGCAGAGAAGAGCTGGTAAATTTAAGACTGGAGCATTTCTTTCCTCTGTTATTCCCTGAAGTGTTTTGGGAGTGCCTTCTGCATATCTGGCCGGGTGCTGGGTATACAGTGGTGAGCACGATGGAGTTCTTGCCGCCTTGGAGCTTAGAGTCTTAATAGCAGAAGCCGACCACAAACTAGTAGATTAACAGTCACAAAACATGAAGTGCTAAAAGGACAGTGTAACAGGGTGTAGGAATTAAAACCAAACCAAACCCCCCAGATCAACAGCGTCCCTAATGAAATGGAATAGTTGGAGAAGGGCTCCTTGAAGTGAGACCAGAGGATGTACGTGGAGAGTGTCTTGCCAAAAGCCCAGGAGTGCACTTTGGGTTGACCAAGCCCATCAGAGTGGGAGGAGTTGGAGGCTCTGAACAAAGGCAGCTGTGGCTGAGGCTGAGTGGCTGAGGTGAGGGTGGAGAAGGAGTGGGGATTAATTCTCTGTGAATGTGATGGACTCCATTGAGGTTTTAATCTGGAGAATGCGGTGTTCTGATTTAAAGTTTTAAAAGATTACTTTCACCTCTGTGTGGAGAATAGATTGGACAGGTATGAAAATATCTTGTACAGACTTGCCTTGCTTAACAAAATAGATGCACGGTGTTTCCTTTAAAGAAAACATGTAAGTCAGTGTTACTTATTGTTTTTCTAATTTTTTTTTAATTGAAAGACAACAGAGGTTATGGCAGGTGTTGACAGACTTCTCCTGTAAAGCTTTTTTTGGGGGGAATTTAACTATTTTCAGAGAATAAATACTTTAGGCTCTGGGGGCCGTGCTGTTTCTGTCACAACTATTCAGCTCTGCTGTTAATAGCGGGAAAACAGGCGTAACACATAAATGAACGGCTGTGGCTGTGACCCATGAAAACTTTATTTCTGGACATTTGAATTTGAATTTCATATAATTTTCATGTGTCAGGAAACATTCTTTTGATTTTTCCCCCCAATCATTAAAAAATGTAAAATCATTCTTAGCATAGGGGTCATGCAAAAAGAAATTTGGCCTTCAGGCCATGGTCTGCTGACCCTGGTTTCTAGTATGAACTCTGTGGCCAGCCTACAGCTGCGGTGAATCCCACCTCTACAGCTTCTGAACTGTGTGACATGGAAGAAGTTACCTGGGCCAGTTAATTTTCTTACTTTTTTTCTCTTGAGAGATCACACAGTATTTGTCTTTCTCTGTCTGACTCATTTCACTTGGCATTCACCTGCTTCCTGGGGTCTCTTACTAGGATAAAGCTAGTAATAAAGAAAGCCCTTTAAAAAAATTTTAAAGCCCTTAAAACAGTGCTCGGCACATAGTAAGTGCTACATCAGTATTTGTTTAACCAATAAGATTTTTATTATGAAATCAGAAATAAATTTTAATAAAAAACAGAGTGGCCTCTAGTATAATAAAAATCACATTGGGGCACGTTGCCAAGGCCTTAGTTATCCAGATGCAGATCTTGTATGTCGGATCACAGCAAACCCAACAGAAGAAAATGAGTCTGTAAAAGTAGGAGAGCGTCTTCTGAGCAGTTGGTACAGGGCAGGGGAGCCAGAGCTTCAAAGATTCACCCGATTTCTGACTGTTTGCTTTCCAGGACACAGAGCAGGATTTTCCTGGCTGGGGGTGGAGGCTATGATAGATAACGGACTCTGGGCACTGAGGAGTGATGGCAGGGAGACGGAAGAAAGGAAAAAGGGAAACAAAGAGGAGAGCAGTAGACAGTAGTAGGGGTGGCAGGATGGAGAACCAAGATTTGGACATATGAATTCATAAGAAGAGAAGTAGCTGGAGAGAGAAAGAAGAGGAAAAAGGTGGGTTTTAAAAAAAATTTTATTGACATATAGTTGATTTACAACATTTCAGGTGTACAGCAAAGTGATTCAATTATATATATAATTTTTTCAGATTCTTTTCCATTATATATATATATATATTTTTTTTTACGTCTTTATTGGAGTATAATTGCTTTACAATGGTGTGTTAGTTTCTGTGGTATAACAAAATGAATCAGCTATACGTATACATATATCCCCACATCCCCTCCCTCTTGCGTCTCCCTCCCACCCTCCCTATCCCACCCCTCTAAGTGGTCGCAGAGCGAAAGGTGGGGTTTTGTGTGAGGTGTTAATACAAAGTGAATGGGTCAGGAGAGAAAGACAAATTGATGACAAGGGTAAAGCAGGTACAAGCTGGTGTTAAAAATGATTTAAAAAGTTTAAGTGATAGAAACATTATTTAACACTGCACGAAGTGGGCAGTCTCCATTCCCAAGGGTCCAGAGAGCTGCAAAATGGGGTGGAGGGTAGGAAGCTTTTATAGGATAAAGAGTAAGGAACAAGGAAGTAAGCATAGAGCCCAGATTTGGCTTGGCTTTTGGGGATTGGCTGACTGGATATACTGTGTTTCTGGCAAAGTGGGGTATTTATAGGGACACCAGAGTTATCTAAGCCTTGGTTTGCTGACGTGGCACCCCGGGCAGAGGTGGCTCCATCTTGGGCCTAGGAAGTCATTTCAACATCAGCGACACGTTATCCCCAGCCTTTTCTCTCTGAGGATAGAGCTGCTCAGCAGGCAAACGTTTATGATTGCTTCAGTTCGAAGTTCCAGATGGCTTTTGTGAAGTGAGAAATAACTTTTTGTTTTATTGTGTTAGCCTTCCTTATTTGAAGTAGGCACGTGTGAATTTTGGTTGACACGATTTAGTTCATATCCAAATTTTTTAAGTTTTTTGTATGGCAGTGAGTTCTTAGGCAGGAGGATCTGCTTTTTCTGGGTCCACGTGCCGTCGTAGAATCTAGGTTGAGGTGAATATTGATTAGATAGGAAACAAAAGTTTGCATATCCCTTACCCTTAGAAGAAAAACTGCAGCAACGTCCTTTCTCACTGGCTAATAGTATGTAGCAGTATACTGTGTATACTGCTTTTTTGTGTGTGTATAGTATATAAGCAGTACACACATAAATAGTACACATATACTGTACATTTCCCCAATTGTTCTTGGGCCTCTGATTTTTAGCCATGTGAGATGGGTTTGAAATGCCGATTTTAATTTCCCGTCGCAAGTTTTGATGCATTCACAGGTACAGAGCTCACCACTGCCCGATCCTGGCTGCTGTGATAGTGGGGCTCCTGCTCTTCAGCATCTCTTCCAGTCACTCTGTGTGTCAACGTTAGAATAGGAAAAGGTGGTGTATGGGTCTCCAGGAGACCAACTCGATGTCATCTGCTTTTAGGACCATCTCTTGCCTCTCAGACTCATCTTATAGTTACACAGTACCCGCATTCGCAGAAGAATGGGCCTTCGGGGCCAAGTCTGTGAGCCTTCTGCTGGTCGGAAGGGACTCAGGAGAGTTGGCCGGCCGCACTTACAGAAGGCGTTCTGTTGGCCTTTACCCTCGGGAATGAAAGTTTCTGAGCAAATAGTACACTGGTTTTCTTTGAACTCGTTCTCAGATGAGCGCGCCAGGACTATTGGATTCATTCTCCCTCATATCCATAGTCTCCTTGGTGTGACAGCGCGTGATTGCTTGCTCCCTGTAGAAAATCAATCTCCGTGGGCGTAGTTATTTTATATACATTGTGCATAAAAATGTATTTAACATCTAATGCAATATACAGGTAAGAATTTACTCACTTCTAGAGACTTTATCAAGTTTTGAAGGAAAGAGCTACATCCTGAAAGAGTATTAAGTTCAGTGGTAAAGAGTATGAAACAGTATTAAAGAGTATTAAGCAGAATAAAGGCAGTGTGTAGATTTTCTACATAGCTGTTACAACATGTTGTCCTTTTGTATGTTCCCGCTGGCTGGAGCCTTGGTGTCTTTAGTGATTAGCCAATGCAGACCCTCACAGAATGAACTTGCTAACCTGGGGGAAACACTCCTTTGAAAAACTTTCAAGGTGGTGATGAATGTACACCACCTCCCTGAGACAAACTGTATTACTTTCCCCTATTTAGCAGGCTGGTAGTTAATGTCTAGTCACCTAAAGTGAACCTCAGCACTAACCGTTCTTCCTTCTAATATCCTGCTAGGAAATTTTATCCCTTAAGAGCAAGGTGAGTAGACTAATTGTTAATTTGGTGTCCTTTTAGATTATACATCCAAAAACTGACGATCAGAGAAATCGATTGCAAGAAGCTTGCAAAGACATCCTGCTGTTTAAGAACCTGGATCCGGTAAGATAAAATCTCAATAGTAGCAACTGTTTTTTTTTCAGTGTCCGTGTGGAGAGCCGTGCAGGATCTTGGATTTCACCCTCTTTACAAGCTAACATCACCCAGGGCGATGTAAAGGCCGCACTGCAGATGTCTGCACAGGAAGTGGGTTGTGTTCTAGGAGCTGGGGAGGTCACTGCTGTCATAGCAAGGAGTGAGCGCCTGTTTCTCGGCGGAAGGCTTCTTATCCCTCAAGGTTACTTGCTGCAAACACAGCCCTGAGAAGTGGCCCAGGTGAAGAGAGGTTAAGACTTTGCATTCTTCGCCCACTCAACAGGAACACGTAGGGATGTGCAGGGCCCATGGGGGAATGCCTCTTTCACCAGTCAGTAATAGTCATTATTTTAATGTATGACTTTCATATTATACATATTTTTAAAGTAAAGTTTTACTTGGCTTTAAAGGTAGAGGGTTTTTTTTTCTTTGTAAAGATTTTGAAATCTCTAGTCTTTGGTTTGGGGTGACTGTACTGTTCAGACTTTGCCCTTCACCCTGACCTAAATGCTCTGCTTCCTTCATCATGGATTATGCTTATTCACTGCTATATGGTCAGTTGGGAAAGAGGCCCTGCTGCCATGTTCCCCACGTGAAACCTGAGTCAACTTTGGTAACTTACCTCGATTCTTTTTTCTGTCAAACTCAACATCTTAATAGTTTTCAGATTGATGCCCTAGAGAAGAACGCATTAATCAAGACCCACTCTTTTAAGATGAGGTCTTTTTAAAAAGGCCATTTTTATAAAGAGGAAAGTACTGCTTTATACAGTGTCTTCTATGCTAGGTCATATTATACCCTGAAATTATTTTTAAAAGCTCTTTTGTTTCTAATACCATTTATGCTAATGTTATGTCCTCCAGGATCACAGATTATATTGTGTGACTTTGGAGATTTTATTTTAGGGCCATATAATACAAGTTTTGTCCACTTTGATCCACGTCCTCTAGAGTCTGCAAAACTAGGAGCTCTAAAGAAAGGGTTGCTGGTGGTTCTCTCTCATAATGGAAGAATAAGAAATGAGATTAAGATAGAAAATTTAGGAGTTTCGTTTATGAATGGAAAATCTTCCTGGTAGTATTAAATAGTAGAATAAGTGACTAAAAGGAACTTGTGAAATTTTGATGGGCCTCCAAGTAATCTCAGATTTCATTTATCTAGAATGATAATGATTCTGTGAAATAAAGGACGTGAAACTATGATCTCTAATGATCTCCCACCAGAATGAGACCAAATAATTATTAGTGGAAAGATACAACTTTATGTGTGTTTAAGATGATAATTTTGCTATTGGAACTAAACTAAGTATTCAATTCTTTTGCTTCAGATACACACAGAAGACAGCTGTGAAATTAATCCTTAGTTTTATCCTTAGGGGTAGGCTTCAGCCAAGAAGGTTCTCTGTTTTCAGGCCAGAGCTTTGCGTGGGAGAATTTCAGGGTCACCAAAAACAGTGCTTCTCAAGCTTTAATATGCCTATATATCATCAGAGGATCTTGTTAAAAATGCAGATTCTGGTTGAGTAGATCAGTAGTGGAGCCTGAGAGTCTGCATTTCTCACAAGGTCCCAGGTGATGGCAATGCTGTCAGCCCACAACCATACTTTGAGTAGGAAGGACCAGAGCCCAATGTGAAAATGTTCGAGGTCAGTATTTTGGTACTACCATATGTTATTTTGTTTGCATGCTTCCCTATTCAGTTCAACCAGTATTTTAATGCTTCAGCAGTGACCAAACAGTGATACTGTGGAGTCAAACACTAAGTGATGAACAGGCATGAGTGAAATCACTGCCGGTTATAATTTCCTGGCATGCTGCCTATTCTATTCCATCCTCTAAATTAAATTGATTTTTCTTGCCATTTCAACTTTAACTCTTTTAAAGCATTGTGAAAATTTTGGTTGCATTTAAAATAATTAAAAAAAAACTTTTCCTGGTATATTCTGGCAGGGAGCATCTTTAATTAAAATGGTTATTTTTATAAACATAGGCGTTTTTTAAGCCTGTTTTTAGATTTCGCTGCTCTGATGAAGGTCTTCAATGTATATATTTTAAAGGTCACAGTTCATAGGGACAAAAAAGAAAAAGCCCGTTGATGAAATTACCAAGTTCATAAGTTATCATTATTGAATGTTTTATAGGGAGGAAGTAAATATATTTACATAGTTGTTTCCAAAAGATCTTTTTTTGAATTTGAGCTCATACCATCTTGATTTATTTCCCTACTATCTTAAATCCTTCTAAGAATGATGCAAAATATAAATAAGTAACAGTTAACTCTTCTCAGCAAATAACCACCTGGAATAAGAAATTTATCCCCAAACATAGCAGATTGAAGATTTTAAGTTCATATTTTAAGCAGCTTTCTAGTTTTTTATCGTATACGTTTTTTGTCATAACCCAAATACATTTAAATTGAATTATATATTCCACTTATATAATCTGCCTATCATATAGAAGCTCCTTTCAGGCCAGTTCCTTGACCAACCACTGTGTTCCAGGGCCTGTATGAAGGTGTAGGATGCCACAAAAGTACTTAGACATGGTTCTTGTGCTCTTGGAACTTATCATTTAGTGAGGGATTCAATTACACATACAAAGCAATTTGGTAAAAGCATGATAAATGCTGTAATATGGTCAGAGCGCTATGAGAGAATGAGGGTCTCTCAGCCCCACGTGAGGATCCAGGAAGCTGGAGAGACCACCTGAGATGAGCCTCAGAAAATGAGTCGGAAATCGCCAGTTGAACGAAAAGCATAGAGCACGTTAACGCTGGAGTCGAAAGTGAAAGACATCCAGTGGCGGGGCTCAGACGTGCGCGCCGTGTCAGGAAGGAGCACCGTAGCAGTGGACACACACTATAGGCAGTAGCATTTTAAGCAGAGAAAGTAACAGGTGTGTCTGAGGTCACTGTGATGGCAGGGTAGGGCGTGGAGTTAAAGGCGAGAGATGGATAGGTCAGGAACAAAGGAAAGGAGCTCAGTGAGGAGACCGCACCTCCCTCCGTGCCAGGTAATGGATCCAGGAAAGAGCCGTGCTGCGGTCCAGGGAGAAGAAACACGCCCAACTAAGGAGAAGGGGGGAAGGGATGGTTTCATAAAATACTCAGGACGAGCAGAAGTTGGTACCTGCTGACTGAATGAATTGAGACCTGACAGAAATAGGCTCGGATGACCCCCAGTGTCTGGCAGCGGAGGTGGTACCTTTTCCTGAAATGGAAAAACTTGGAAGGAGGAAGGGGAAGCCGTAATTACTAACCAGCAAGAACAGTCTTGGCTTTGCATCCACTATCTCACTTGACTTTCCTCAAGGCGTGTTTAGCTTGAAAATCTAGCACCTCCTAGACCTCAGAACAGTTTTCCTTCGAGTTCTGTATATTCATACATTGAGCACAGCATTTATAATTATTAACCTCTTTGAAGATATTCTTTTCATGAATATTTCAATGCTCGACTCAGTAGGCCATTTTTCTTCTGAAATATTTCTAATTTTAGGCAAACTGAAATAATCTTCTTATGCTATATGATAGGCTTTTTCATTAATGGAGAGTAAATTGTTATTTTTTAAGCGAGTCAAAGCCCTTTTACCAAGCTCAGTCTCTAATTTACATTCTGTAGGCGAATAAGATGTGGATTTCCTACAGTAGCTGTCAGTCACCGAGATAAGCCTCTGCATATTAAATATTTCCTACGTTCTTTTCACTCTGTGCATAATTATGGGGAAGTTACATTTTGATTGACTAGAAGAGACACCTGTCACATAGAGAAGTTCTAAAAGAAATAGATGTTCTGTATTTTATCAGGGATTACTTTTTCATTTATCCATGTACAAATTCTTTTTTATTTTTTTCTTCCTTTTTTTTTTTTTTTTTTTTTGGCGATACGCGTGCCTCTCACTGTTGTGGCCTTCTCCCGGTGCGGAGCACAGACTCCAGACGCGCAGGCTCAGCGGCCATGGCTCACGGGGCCCACCCGCTCCGCGGCATGTGGGATCTTCCCAGACCGGGGCACGAACCCGTGTCCCCTGCATCAGCAGGCGGACTCTCAACCACTGTGCCACCTGGGAAGCCCTATCCATGTACAAATTCTTAAGCGTGATAACGTTTTAAAATGCAGCTAATTCCAAGATACCAAAAAAAAATTTACTATAGCGCTATATTTCATCTTTTTCTCCACTTGACATTCAGGGCTAGAGCTAGCTAATCAATAAAGCCGATAGTCCCCCTCCATCTGCTCTAAACGAGTTGAAATATAAATAATAAGCAAAATAAAATATTAGTAAACCATTTTATCAAACTTCATAATTTTAATAGGTGACCGTATGTCGCCTGGGTTGATGAACTCCCAGTTAGCAGCACATCGAGAAGGCACTGTCTTACTGCCCCCCATTGGCTTCGTCTTCAGCCCTGGCTGCTGTTTCACACATAGGTGCTAGAGCTCACACGGGAATCCAGGGAGGGGATGAAAGCCACGTCCTGCAAACCCATCACCATCTTTCTTCTCCAAGTTTTTCTTACCCACATAAAGATGTAATGTTATATTCTCTGTTTAAATGGAGAGTTTGGTTTTTCAGTTAATTAAAAAATTTAAATCAGTATGCATATAGAATTTACAAAAATTCAAAAGGAACAAAAGAGTAGTCACTGAAAGGAGATCTCCCTTCCATCCCTGTCTCCCAGCAATCCAGTTTCTCAGGAGCCAAGTTCTTTTAGCACTATCATGCATATTTTTCTAGGGTTACTCTATGTATATACAAGTATATTCTTTTTAAAATTTTGGTGGCAGCAGACTCTACACGTAGAGTTCTTGCCCAGTTCTTTTTTTTTTCTAACAGGTAATCTGTATTTATAGAGTTTTCATATTCTTTCTTAAAATTATTTTTATCAGTATTTATTTTTATAAAAGTTTATAAAAAAATTGGTAGCATTTATGTATTATAAAGCTAAACCATGAAAACACATTGCGTTTT